GATGAAGCTTTATCAAGTGTCCATAATGAAGGGTTTGAAGTAGTAACTCGCTCGACTACAGACATCGCTGCAAGTTCGACCACAAATACATTGATTGATCAAAGATGGTAAATAGCATGCCTGGTTAATTCAGTACTTCAAAAGCCTGGTTGAGCCTGTTTTTCCTGGTTCTTTAAGAGAAACCAGGCTAGCCAGGAAAACGCTGGTAGACCAGGGTAACCTCAGGTGCATTGACTTACTTTAAAAGCTAGCCTGTGTACAGACACCCCCCCTTCAGGAAAAATCGGAGAAAGGGCCCCTTCTCCAATTTTTCCTGAGGGGAAGGGGGGTCTGTACTCAGGTTCTTTAAGAGCCTGGTAGAGCCTAGTTTCGTGGTTCATGGAATAACTAGGCTTGCCAAGCTTACCAGGAATAACCTGGTTAAGCAGGTTTTGTGCACATAAGGTTCAAGCCTTGTTCATTTAGCTTTTCAAGAGCCTGGTTGAAGCCTGGTTTTCCTGGTTTGTAGAATAGCAAAGGCTACCAAGGAATATCCTGGTCACATTTGCTAATGGTAAAGCCTGGTTTGACAACGAGAAAACCCAGGTAAGTTGAACCAGGCTTGCACCCTGGTTAATCCTGGTTTAATCAGGCTTTTGGCGAATCCCGTAATGTTAGGCTCTTATTCTTAACATTGAATGATGCATAATTTCTTTAAAATTTTTCCAAATGCAGGCAATGTTTTAAAGTCATTTCAAGGAAAGATTTTACAGATTACCTTATTTCCAATGGAATCTGTATGATCTGTAGGCTGGGTCTTTGCTACCATTATGTTCATTATTGTCTTGCACAGTTACAGCAATGGATGTAAATTGTCTATTTGGTATGTGTGATCGCTTTCCAGTAGAGCATGTCCACACGCCCGGTGGACAACTACGTCTGGTGACGCTATCTTGGGTTCTTAACAACAGTTTGCCACTCAGTGATCGTTTTCCAGTTGAGCAAGTCCATACTCCTGGTGGACAAACAGCGTCTTGTTCAGATGATAAAGTGTGGGACGACTTCAGCTTCTCCGTCACAGGACCAGCATTGATGAAATAGACTAGAAGAGCAGATAATACGAATAAAATTGAGGAAGAGTACATGTTGAGATCAAGACCATTTTGTTATGATCGAAATGGCTTTAAAACTGGAAATTGTTTGATGCTGAATGCTGTGGCCCCTTTTATAGGTAATGTACAGCTGAGCAACATTATGTTACGAAATCAGCACTTTGCTTTACTAAGTTCTGACAAATCTTACTTTCGGTTTGGTTCCCAGCTGGGTTATTTGTAAAACATACTCAAAACTTTCTAACTCAATATTTAGTAAATGAACATCTCCCGGCGGCTGGAATATCGCAAAAAAATGCTCGCGGCTCAGAGGTTGTTCGAAAAATAAACATTTGCCTGATAGGCGAAGCTTCAAGGGCAAATGAAAAAGTTTGAGTACAATCTCTAAGCCGCTGGCATTATCATTCGAATAAGGTCATAAATGTCTTGAACCAGCAGCCACATTAAGATATGGACCCTTGAACAGCTGCATCACTACACTCGAAGTTTGAATCATGAAGATATTTAAATGTTATGCTTCTGAAATCCTTCAGCTGTGATAAAAGACGACAAAATTGTGAAGAATCAAGATGGCGGTCTCAAAGTGCCCTTGTTTGACCTTAAGCGTAGCAATGTCATGTTTAGATTGCGAAATCTCATTCGTTCCTTAGCCATCAACTCATGGTACCTTCAACCTTATTGGTCCCTGCAACACACATCCCAACAGACAAAGCCACAAAGATAGATATGCTCACACCACAGACATATGAGGTTTTTTTTTCAAAATAGCTGAATAACTGTCCCATAAATGGCCCTGCATGGTCTATCTGTATGCGGGACCAGCACTTTTCAGACCACTCCCAGGAATGCGGAGGTGCAGCTCTATGGAATTGACATACTTTGCATGACTTGACCTTATCTTCAATGTCTGTATCCACCCTGGCCACAACAGGTAGCTCCGCGCCATATTTTTCATCTGGCCATTCCTGGGTGGGCAGTGAGAAGGTCCTCTAAGAGCTTTTTCTGAGCCCGAACTGGTATCACCACACCGTTCCCGCAAGAGATACAACCATTGTGTGTGCTCAACTCGTTTCTCCTCCCGTAGAAAGGCTCCAGGCTTTTGTCAGGGCATCTATCACCCCATCCGTGCTGAACTCTTCTAACAACCTGATGTAGAACTGGGTCTGAGGCTGTTCAAGCTGCAATGTGATCAGCTTCACAGGCATGAATTCCAGGCGGTCCATTAGGAGTATGGTTTCATCCGGTACTGGGGCTGTGACTACTGTCTCAGGCAAGGGTAAACGACTGAGAACATCAGCATTACCATGTTTACATCCCTCTCGGTAAACAAGTTCATAGTCGTAGGCTGTAAGAAGCAGAGCTCACCTAAAATAACTAGTGGTTGAAAATATATCTTATTGTAATATGATGCAACGCGCGTACGATCGAAGAAGTCATCAAATATTTCCCGTCCATCTAAAGACATCAATGTATGGAAATAAAAATAAGGACGTTTCTTTTTTTCCCCTCTGTTGGTAAGAACTAGCAAAACTTGTTAGAACGCTCACTGCTCTTGTAGAACAACGGATCAAAACTTTAACCCTTTTGATTTATCTGTGAAACTGGTTTGACTTTCAAAAAAAGATTTTATAGATTACCTTATTTCCAATGGCATCGTCCAATTCTCTGTTTGAGTTTAAGGCATAAATGCCCGCATTGTTAACAGTATTTGACGTCACAGCTTGTGCAGAGGGTTGTGTTCTGTGACAAGTGGTTTGGAAATGTTAAAGGCTCAGGTATGAGTTTATCGGTTTGGTCAATTACATTTTATTATAACCATAAAAGTGTGAACTAGAGCCCCTCGTAAAACTAACAGCAACCAACAAACACAGAATTATTTCGTAATAATCCTTGTGACAAACTGATTAAAAACAGTCATACTCTATATGCTGGTAAAAACAGATATTCAAGCTCGTTAAAAATATTTTCTTGGTGCAGTAATGACAAGCGCTGACATAATATTCCTAGTAAAATATCCCTTTATTCTGTTTATTTTAATTTGATCATAGAAAGAATATCCACGCCATGTATTTTTACAAACATGAAATGTTTAATTCGAACAAAGTTCTCATGCAGACATGGTCTCCTATTGATCGTGGCAGGAAAGGCTTTATTGAGTACAATATCCCCTGTCGCCGACTAAATCGTCAAGTCACTTTAGCTGTGTATTTTTGTTACGTCTCTCATCGTTTTCCAGTAGAACATGTCCAGACGCCTGGAGGGCAAACAACTCTTGAGGTTTGGAAGCCCTTCATTGTTGGTGTTCTCTTTTTAAGCATTCTCTGGAACATTCTCTTCTTTCTACCCGTTAAGATATGTCGTGATCTGTAGGCTGGGCCTTTGCTACCATTATCTTCATTATTGTCTTGCACAGTTAGAGCAATGGCTATAAATTGTCTATTTGGTATGTGGGATCGCTTTCCACTAGAGCATGTCCACACGCCCGGTAGACAACTACCTGTGGTGACGCTATCTTGGGTTCTTAACAACAGTTTGCCACTCAGTGATCGTTTTCCAGTTGAGCAGGTCCATACTCCTGGTGGACAAAGAGCGTCTTGTTCAGATGACAAAGTGTGGAACGACTTCAGCTTCTCCGTCACCAGACCAGCATTGATGAAATAGACTTGAAGAGCAGATAATACGAATAAAATTGAGGAAGAGTACATGTTGAGATCAAGACTGTTTTGTTATGATCGAAGTGGCCTTAAAACTGGAAATTGTTTCATGGCTAAATGCTGTGGCCCTTTTTATAGGTAATGTACAGCTGAGCAACATTATGTTACGAAATCAGCAAGTGTCCTTATATAAAATGTGATTTTGTATAAAGTAGCCTATTAACAACAGCAACAACAATTTTAATTTGCGTTTGAGTGGTTTAAAAAGTAAAATTACCACAGAACAAATGATAACTTTACAATTTACAAAACTAACGTAATTTGAATAAACGTTAATATGATTGTAGGTTCCTGCAAATAGCACAGGCTAATTGCGGCAGATCGTCTATCGGTCTGAATTTTGCACTCGTGGAAACATCCTAGGCTAGAGGACGTTTTCTTGTGATCAGCTTCCATACGCCATGAAAAATTCCTGTCTTATAAATAACACTTTGCTATACTAAATTCTGAGAAATCTTACCTTCGGTTTTTTGTTGCACTTATGTCCAGAAATGCATGCAATGGCGAAACTGGCGAAAAATCGCCAGCCGCTGGCGATTTGAATTGGATGCCAAAAGTGGCCCCTTGGAGGCTGGCGATTTTGGCAAAAATGGCGATTTTGGCGAAATTGGCGATTTTGGCAAAAATTGCCATGCACGCCATGGCGAAAATGGCGAAAAATCACCAGCCTCTGGCAATTTGAATTGGATGCCAAAAGTGGCCCCGTGGAGGCTGGCGATTTTGGCGAAATTGGCAATTTTGGCAAAAATCGCCATGCATGCAATGGTGAAAATGGCGAAACTGGCGATTTTGGCGAAATTTGGCGAAATTGGCAATTTTGGCAAAAATCGCCATGCATGCAATGGTGAAAATTTTGGCGAAAATGGCGAAATTGGCAATTTTGGCAAAAATCGCCATGCATGCAATGGTGAAAATGGCGAAAAAAATCACCAGCCTCTGGCGATTTGAATTGGATGCCAAAAGTGGCCCCTTGGAGGCTGGCGATTTTGGCGAAAATGGCGATTTTGGCGAAATTGGCAATTTTGGCAAAAATCGCCATGCATGCAATGGTGAAAATGGTGAAACTGGCGAAAAATCACCAGCCTCCGGCGATTTGAATTGGATGCCAAAAGTGGCCCCTTGGAGGCTGGCGATTTTGGCGAAAATGGCGATTTTGGCGAAATTGGCAATTTTGGCAAAAATCGCCTGAGGGTTG